CCCATATGCCAGAGGTGGCGGGTTCAAACCCAGCCCCAGCCAAAAAAAAAAAAAAAAAAGATTTTTGGTTTCTTGGAGTTGGGGGGAAGGGAAAGGCACAGGCAATCAAAGGAATGAGTTGCCAAATGCTCCCCGCCTGAGAAGAGCTTGCCATCTGCCAAAGTTAAGTTCTTATCTGCTATGCTAGATATACCAACTACCAGGCCCGTGGTGCATAATAATCTCCTTGCTGCTTCCATTCTGTTCGAATATCTACAAAACAATGCATGTATTATCATTTCAGGTTTATTATGTCTTGTTTTGTTTTGTTTTTGAGACAGAGTCTCACTCTGTTGCCCTGGTAGAGTGCTATGGCATCACAGCTCCCAGCAACCACAAACTCGGGTTCAGGCAATCCTCTTGCGTCAGTCTACTGAATAGCTGGGACTACAAACGCCTGCCACAATGCCTGAGTAATTTTTCTATTTTTAGTAGAGATGGGATCTTGCTCTTGTGCAGGCTGCTCTCAAACCCCTAAGCTCAAATAATCCACTCTCCTTGGCCTCCCAGCATGCTGGGATTACAGGTGTGAGCCAATGTGCCCAGCCATCATTTCAATTCTATTTGTAAAGGTGAATGATGTATAACAAGCCCTAGAAAAGGTGCTAAACATCACTAGTCATTAGGAAATGCAAATTAAAACCACAGTGAAAGCACTAACCACTCACCAGAACGGCTTATATTAAAAGTTCTGGCTGGGCGAGGTGGTTCGCATCTGTAATCCTAGCATTCTGGAAGGCTGAGGAGGGTGAATTGCTTGAGCTCAGTAGTTCACATCCAGTACCAGAGTGGGACTTTATAAGAAAAACCTCTGACAAAACCAAGTTTAAGTGAGGATGGCAGCACCTGAACTCACATGCCATTTATGGGAATGTGAAATGATACCATTTGGTTTACCATGTGACCAGAAGTTCCACTCCTTGGTATGTACACAAGATAATTGGTAATAGGATTATAATTTTTTTTTTTTAAGACAGAGTCTGTGTTGCCCTTGGTAGAGTGCTATGGCTCACAGCAACCTCAACCTCTTGAGCCCCTCTCTCTTGGACTCAAGAGATTCTCTTGTCTCAGCCTCCCCAGTAGCTGGGACTACAGACGCCTGCTACAACGCCCAGCTATTTTTGGTTGCAGCTGTCATTGTTGTTTAGCAGGCCCAGGCTGGGCTCTAACCCTCCAGCCTTGGTTTACGTGGCGGGCACCCTACTTACTGAACTACAGGAGCTGAACCAAAGATACCGTCTTATTTATGTTTGTATTTTCAACAGCTAGTTCAGTGTCACGATTTCTGTTTGAATATATGTTTGTTACAATTAATATAATTAATACTCTAACAAATATTTATTACATTTAAATTCTTGACGTTATGTCTTACCTCTGGAGCTTCCTGTCAGCTTGGTGTTAAAACCCTTTTCTTTATGAGACAGGGTCTCCTTCTGTTGCCTAGACTACAGGCATGTGGCACCATGCCTGGCTAATTTCTGTGTTTTTTGTAGAGACCAGGTCTCACTATGTTGTTCAGGCTGGTCTTAAACCGTTCTCAAGTGATCCTCTTGCTTTGGCCTCCCAAGGTGTCAGGATTATAGGCATGAGCCATCACACCTGGCCTCCAGGCTCATTTGAAGCTTTCTCTATTTAATGTTTGGTTTTTTTTAATGCTAAAAATGATATATGATTTAATGCAGAAAACTTGAAAAAACAAAAAGCAAAAGAACTACCTCACATAAAAAATAAATTCCCAGCTTGGCACCTGTAGCACAGTGCTTACAGTGCCAGCCACATACACCGAGGATAGTGGGTTCAAACCTGGCCCGAGCCAGCAACAATGACAGCTGCAACAAAAAAATAGCCAGGCATTGTGGTGAGCACCTGTAGTCTCAGCTACTTGGAAGGCTGAGGCAAAAGAATCACTTAAGCCCAAGAGTTTGAGGTTGCTGTAAGCTGTGATGCCAGGGCACTCTACTGAGGACAACATAGTGAGACTCTGTCTCCAGAATAAATAAATAAATAAATAAATAAATAAAAATTCCCGGCTCAGCACCTGTGGCTCAAGCAGCTAAGGCGCCAGCCATATACACCTAAGGTGGCGGGTTCGAATCTCCAGCCTGGGCCCGCCAAACAACAATGATGGCTGCAACCAAAAATATGGCCGGGCGCTGTGGCAGGTGCCTGTAATCCCAGCTACTTGGGAGGC